TCTCTTTTTTCACACACACACACACAAACACACACACTCTCCTGTGTCTCTCTCCCTTTCACACACACACACATAAAACACACACCCACGCTCCCCCCCTACCCTGTGGCGTATTAGCGTCAAACCCACCCCACCCCTTCCCCAAAATCCAGCAAACAATACCACTCTTTGGCACCCCCCCGCCCTCACCCTAGGAGCTGCGAGCTGGCTTTGAAGCAGAAGCCTCCAAGACGGGTCAGCCACGCCTCCTTGTCAGCGCTGGGGTACGCACGGAAACCAAAGCCATCATCGACAGAGTCTACGACATCCCGTCCATCTCCGCCCACCTCGACTTCATCAACCTCATGTCCTACTACTTCCGCGGCAACTGGGAGAGGCAGACGGTTCACCACAGCCGGCTCTACGCGGGGCAGCACGGCACGGGGGCCAACCGGAACCGGACAGTGGACTGGGCGGCCAGGTACTGGCACGAGCAGGTGAGGGGGATGAGATGATACGCCATTGTGAAATGTTGAAGTGATACGTCACGTGATAGCTGAGGTGATACGTCACGTGATATGCGAGGTAAAATGTCACGTTGAGATGATATTATGTCACGTGGCAGATGAGGTGAGTAAATGTGTACTGGGCCACAATGCACTGGCACTCACAGGTGGGGTGACACATCATGTGCCAGTTGAAGTGATACGTCAGATGACAGGTGCGGAGAAAAGTGAGGTGAGGTGAGACTGGGCCGCCAGGAACTGGCACTCATGGGTGGAGTGATATGTCAGGTGACAGTTGAGGTGATATGTCACGTGACAGAAGAGGTGAAGGTGAGATGATGCTGGGCCACCAGGTACCAGAACTCATGGGGTGGGGTGATACATCACATGACAGGTGAAATAAAGGGTGAAATGTCATGTGAGGTAAGGTGATGTGAGTCACTGTGGACAGGGTAGACAACAAGTACTGGCACTATGGTCGGACGAAAGGGTCAGCCTTTTTAAATTTCTTTTTTAAACTTACGTGTCATTTTAAGGCCCCCATTTACACAATATAGGTTCCTTGGGAGGTGGGCTTCCGACTCTGTCAGTCAGGGCCGACCCAGGCTGAGAAGGGTCCAACATTGCAGCAGAAAGACCGACATACTCGAAAACAATTTCTCCTCACTACAAGAATGTGTCTACCTACCCCCCCC